CCCAGCCGGTTCCGTGCCTGGCCCCGGCCGGCCTCGGAGGCGTCTCGTGCGTGCATTGAAGCGAGACTTGTTCTGCAGAGAGAGGAGAGGCAGTGACAGCCCCGCAGACCACAGACCCCGCCATGGCCACGTGCCCCCCGGCCCCTTACCCAGCTGCCAAGGCCGCAAGGGAAGTCCTGCAGACCCAGGCGCCGCAAGTGCTCCCGAAGAGCAGCCGAGACGCTGCGGTGGCCGGGTGCTGCCATCCACCCCCAGCCCGGCATGGAATTCCCTAGCTCTGGGCACGCGTCCCCGTCGCTAGGTGATGGCGGGGACGTGGATGCCTTGGTGACCAAGCTCTGCAAGCAGGGCCACAGAGCGAGCCGCGGATGGCACCAAGCTCTCCAGGCTGGGAACAAACGCCTGGTTTTCTGGATCTCCCTCCGGGCTCTGGGGGTTGCACCCCACCATGGAAGGGGCAGACGGCCTCACGTAGCGCTTGCAGGGTGCAGCATCAGCCTTGTCCCCTGGCCAAGGACCTTTGGCACGGCATTTGTCATTTCACTTCTCTACATCCTGAGTGTCACTCCGGTTTCGGGAAGGAAGCAGTCAGGTTCTCAGCCGTAAAAGTGTTGCTGTTCACTCATGCTGCCACAGCAGCGCAAGGCCATCGGAAAACAAAGTTCACAGCTAAAAATACCAGCTCTTACACCTGGAAAAAGTCGATGAGCCCCAGGAAAAAAAGCCACAGCTCTGTCTCAGGTCAGATTCAGGTCTCTGCGCTCTGCGGTTTAATTGCTTTTTCCAGCCATAGGTGTTGAGGCAATGACTACAAATTCCATTTTAGGGAGCCTACAGAGCAGCCTGTGTCAGCAGAACTTCACCAGATGAATTGAAGATGCTCTGTGGCATCTGGTGGTTACGTGGTGGAAAGCCGAACTTCCACTCGGGCTGGGTTTTAAAGGACAGATGTCAATCTGCTCCCTTATCAGCTCAGCAGTTTATCACAGCCGTGTGCAGATAGGAAAGGATGTGCAGAGCATGCCCATGTCGAGAGGTAGTGGCATGCCATGGCGTGGAAGAACCAGGCAAAATGCTACCCTTAGCTCAGTAGACAACAAAGTAAAATCTTTGGGAAATCTTTGAAAGCGTTTTACCAAGGGTTGAATCATGTTTCGTAGAAAAGCCAAGCTGTCAGAATGATGCTTCTCTTATTTCTGTTACAAACAGGCCCTGTTGCCACCGGTGCCGCACAGAGATGTTCCCTGCTCTCAGAAGAAGATGGGCAGTGATTCCTTGTCTGTCCTCCCTGGCTGCACCCGTCCGGGGCAGCTGGAAGGGGACTGGCAGTGCCCGATGCCCAATGGTCTCTTGCACGTGCAAGCTGATGCACCTTCCAGCCATCTTGCACAGCGGGGCACGAACCAGCTGCACCTCTCGGCTTTTTTGGTGCTTCCAAACAAGCAACCCTCCAAGATCACCCTTCTACCTGAAACGAGCCATCTGTACCCATTGTTGTCTTTGTAGGGATGTTCCTAAAGAACACCCTGCACTAAGAAACCTCTCTCTCTCTGTCTCTTCATTTTACCCCCAAATAATAATAAAAGCCTCAAATAAAAAAAGCACCTGCCAGAACTGTCCTTTTCTGGCTCTTCTCCAGCTCTCTGCTGTACTGTCTGCTACCTCATGCCGTAGGCCATGACAACTCATTCTCTTTCTTCACATGATTTAGCACCTGGGAACAGCAGTTGCGCAAGAAGAAATGCATCCCTGTGGATGTCCTCTGCTTGGCTGTCTGGGGCTCCCTCACAGCGCGTGGCAGAACCACATCCATTTTGTGAATCTCCATTGTTGCGGCTTCAAGCAAACAAAAGGCCTAAAGCTACAGGCTGGTGGGACCCGAGTGGAACATGGTACAGGGGAAATGTCCGTCCCCATTTCAAGCCTCAGGAATCAGTTCAGCCCAGAGAAGAGTCCTTGCACCAGTCCCAGGCACTTCAGAGATGTTCATGCACGCATCAAGATTTTTATTTTGAGACAGATTATTTCACATGGAAAACAGAACTGATTATTTTGACACCAGTCTGGTGTTCCTTGAAAGTTGTCTGGTGACTTGACACACACTCACCTTCGAGCCTACAGCTACCTCTCGGGCGTCTCTTTTATCACAGAGGTGGGAAGCACAAGCGTGTATGTGTCGCTTGTGTGTTTTCACAAAGATACGTTCATAGGGGTTTCCTCTGCTCTCCTTTCTGTCCTACAGTATCAGTAGCTCTGCAGGTCCTCTTCTGATCACAGCCTCACACTTGTAGACCCTAGGAAGGATTTGTCTCTGTTGTGGCGTGTATGAGAATTTCCTGCAGTTAGTTACTGGAAACAGAAAACAGCCTCAGGGGAGTTGGAGAGAAGGGTGACAGAGGTGGGGAGGTGGAATCCTGGACATCCTCTGCTAGGTTACATGAGGGGGTCACACCTCGCGGACAGGGTCTTACAGACATCCAGCAAAAGGATGTATATGGCGACCTGGAGGCCTGGCCTGCCTTGCACACAAGCCCCTCATGGCTTCTTCACTCCCCATGTTACCCACTCTTACACTGACCCTGCAAGAGAAGGTCGCTGGCTTTGGGCACCAATAATGTGCTTGCACACTCCAGCCGTGTTTTTAAGAAAAACAACAGAGCTTATGTTCCAAAGCCTACATTTTAGGGAGCCCAGGGATTTAGATGGGATGGCTAAGCCAAGTGTCCTGAGCTCCTAGTCAAACAGATGACACAGGACACTCTCTCCGTCAGTTTGAAACTGCACCTAGATCACAATCAGTGAAGACGCATTTCAACCAACTTTTGATGTAATCTTTCAAAAAAGAAAAAAAACCCCAAACTATCACCCACAAAAAAAACCCCATGGAGGAGCCACTGACGCAAAACCCCACTGTACTTAAATGCAGCCCGGCTGTCCACATCTACAGCACTCCGGGCACCACGCGGCTTGAGCACCAACACCCAGCCAGCGTTCCGCCAAGTCAGCTGCTCTCCAAGCCCGCCATGAAACGCCGAGCAGGTGGGTGCGACTTAACCTTGCTACTCGTTGTAAGGTTGCACTGGTTGATGCTCATTGCTAGCTCAGCCGCTTAATGTCTGTACGCTTTAGAAATTTAGCACGCTGCACAAAACCAGGAAGTTTTGCAAAAATGATGTAGAGGCTTGAGACTAATCATTGTATTCTTTCTTTTTGTCTTCCCTCCCTCTCTTTTCATTTGAATGCAGAGATCAACAGGTTTGCAATCTTCCTCTTCTGTTCGCTGGTTCCTTTGGGCTCCTTCGCACCAACAGCCACCTCAGAAGAAAGCAAAACTACCACAGCAGAGAGGCAGAAGCATTTTACTACCAGAATAAAGCCCTTAGCATCAGTGATAGAAAGGCAAGCAACTACCTTGTTCAAAAACTATGTAAGTGTACTATTTTGCATTTGCTGTGTCTATGCGGAGAAATCTCTTGAATTACTATAAAATACTAGAAGACTATCAGAAAAGAAATATTTGTTTTAGAACCTAAAATATTCTCTTCTCTGTATTCTATACGGGAAGGAAAGCACTCACATTGCATTATTTTATGGCAGACTTGCAGGAATGTCTAAGCCAGCTGGAGAAAGCTTGGGCAGCTTTGCCTCAGCTAACTGCTAGCTGTGATCTGCCAGACTAAATGCCTTGTTCCTTCTCGGTCTCTTGAGTCATGCCAGGCTTGAAGCAGGCATCTTTTTGGATGAAACTGGTCAGATCACTGGAAACATGGAGAGAAGTACCTTGCTCTTTGGTCTGATCCTAGTACTAGAGCAGTTTGGAGCACTTCTGCCGAAAATCCTGCTCAGCCTGTCCTTTTCTTGGAGATGGTAAAATGTGCGCTGAACCCAAGTGTCAATGCTTCAGAAAAATCTTAATTTCTGGGAACGTGTTCCCAAGAGTGCATTGATAAAAATCAATGTGAACATTTCCCCTGAACTCATTCTGGAAATCAATACCACCTCTGCTGAAGCAGATGAAAATATGCTCAGCTCAAAACACATCTCTTGCATGAGTAAAATTTGCCCATATGGCAAAAGAAAAACAAAAAAAACTGAAAACAAATCCAAGCAGGCTATTAAGATAGAAAGCACTGCGCAATCCTAGCTACAGATAATGTGCAATACCGACTCGATAAAAGGAGTGTAGGTGTTAATACAGCTCTTAAACAATAACAAAAAAACCCCAAGCATACACAAACTGAAACATAGGTGTGTATGCGCCTAGACATTCAAACATGAAGCAACTACTAGGAAAGATGTAAACCGAAAGATTAATAATTTGTCTCTTCTCTGCCTACCCTGCAGAACCTGTGCAGCTCTGTAACACCCAAAACTGAGAGCTGGCTAACCGCTGACTCCCAAGCCAAAGCCTTGCTGAAGAAAATACCCAAATGCCCAGCTTTTGACGCGGATTGCTGCGTTTTCCACGTCTTTTACAACATTTTGCAAAACCTGAGAAGCGATATGGAATTGATCTGTGGTAAGAATTTAACCCAGTTTGTCGATGCAAATATCAATCAGCTAAGTGTGACGCTGAGTGAACGAGCTGCGCTTTACACCTGCAAGAGCGAGGACCTTCCACAGATTGATCACAGACAGGTCCAGACGATGACTATGGCAGAGAGGAAGACGTACATCTGGCAGGTTTTGCAGAAATATGAACAATTTATGCAAAATACAACAAAAATATACTCTTCAGCAGAAATGCAACATGCCAGGGGGAAAAAATAACATTAAGGTACTGGAGACTTGGGTAAAAATGACCTAACAGTAGTTACACGATCAGTTTGATGCCAGAAACAGCACTGATAATGTACTCGCTATTCTACATACTATAACTATATAGTCTAGTTTAATTTAATATTTAAAGGATGAAAGTCTTAAGTTATTGATTGTATTTATTATAAAACTATTTATACCTTTTTATTTGCAACAGCATACAAAAAGGATAAACTAATGTAAGTCAGGGTGATTTAATTAACTGATCATGATATACATAAGCAAACAGGAAAGCATGATTTCAGTAATTTAATGTTATTTATATTTTTATTTTGCATCATTTTTCAAGATAAGTTGATTATCAGTAGACTAATTTTCTACTTTCTGTAGTGAATTGGATTTAAGAATTTATATGACACCTCTATTTTTATAAAATTATTTAAGCAATTATGTAGTTTACATATATTTATTCAGGTTTTTAACTCCT